TTTTTGTTTTTTTATGCGGTATCTTGGACGTGCTCTGTCAGTTTTCATTCAAATTTGGCACATACATGTACTTTATACATGTTAGGATGCATGTCCATGACAATTTGTTTCAAAATCTGGTCATGGATGGCCGATTGACAGCCATCTGACTTTTTGGCCTTACTACTATATTTCCACAATTTATGTACCATTTTCATTCGTATTTGGCACATACATCATACATCATACATATCAGTGTGTTTCATAATCAGATCAAAGATGGCTGAATAATGGCTGTTTTTATTTTGGCTATATTACTATGACACGAAACAAGTGTTTTGATGTAAATAAACAATCTGTTGTATACGCCACTTGGAACTCAAGTTTCAAGGACACGCTCGTGACAACCCCTCCGCTTTAATATGATGAGCACAAAGAGAACTTAACGGGGACTGTGTCATTTTCAATGACTTGTTGTTGTACTGTGTTTTATTTTTATTCCAGTTCTGCGTCACTGACGTGGCTAGCAAAGAATTTATGGGACATTTCTACCTGGATCTGTATCCAAGGGAGGGTAAATTTGGACATGCTGCTTGTTTTGGTCTACAACCAAGTTGTCTTTATGGTGATGGTATACGACAACCTGCAGTGGCTGCCATGGTTGCAAATTTCACTAAACCAACAGATGATAAACCATCTCTTCTCACTCATGATGAGGTAAATGTTTTTTTCTGCTTTGGAAAGTATTCCTGTGTGCTGAACCAATTCTTTGGTATGTGTCTTGCCTCTTCGGTTCATTTCTCAAAAAATAATCATCACTTTTCATAAAACTTTGTAGAAGATGCTTTTTGGCAATGTTCACCCTGATTAGTTTTAGATTGAAATCATACTAATTACCTTATCATTAAATTTGAATGAAACTTGGTACACAAACATGCTACAGATATTCATCTCATTTACCATTTATCAGATTTTAAAGAAACTTAATACACAGGTGCACATACATATTCAGTTTAGAGTTTGATTCTGTGCATACTAATTACTCATTTGCATAAATTAACCAATTTATACATGTTCCACTGCAGGGAAAATAAATGTTGTAGAAAAGTACCTATTCAGCAAAAATTATTCCAGCTATAATAAAGTATTATAGAGTATATGCTATCAGATACCACATTAATTTCTTTAAGGTTGAAATCCATGCATATTAATTTCCATATTTGCATGAAGTTGTAAATTTTCTTATATCCAAATTATCAGATATATTTAATTTAAATTAAATAATTAATTAAAGTTAGTACATGTATATAGGTTTAACTATTTATAAACTTCCATACTGTGAATGCTTACAAGTACCTATCGCAAAAAGCAGAGCTATTTTATTCTATAGACATCTGATAAAAATGGCTAATTCTAAATCTGGAATTATTTAAGCCAAAGTTGGATATATCACTCTATAGTGCACAATTTATAACATGCATGTACATTCCACAGGCTATACTGTTGATTGCATATGCAAATTTGTTGTCTTTATTGATTGACAGTATTGTTATTTCTACCCCATTCCTACAGTATACCCACACAGGAGTTGTATCTACGGTTTCTACTCCATGTCTACAATTATACCCTTAGCACACAGTTGTTTTTACGGTTTATTTGATAAACTGTTCACATAGACTTGTAATCAGAAATTAGGTGTTCTGGGTAATCCAAAGATGTGATTAATGAGCATCATACATATACATGTACATGTATGTGTGAAATGTAAAGTGTTGAAGGATAGAGAAAAACAAAACTGGAATTAATATTTGTATTATATTATATATATTATTATATAATAGTAGTTGCAAATTGAGATAAATATTAAACATACTTAGTAAGAGGTGAATTTGTCTCTCAATTCATTAAACGTTGGGCAGATAAAACTAAAGTGATATGTGATGTCATGAACTTAAGCATGAAATCCACTCATATTAATAATTTAATATCCATAAATTAGCAAATTTTTAGCTGTTCCACAGGTATCTCAGGAATACATGTAGGTGCTCTCAAATACTCATTCGGTCTGATTACTTTGAGGAAATATTATGCACCGATTTTGGCAATTTTCTCATATCTTAATAACCAATTAAAATTAATATTTTTTTTGATATTACAATATATTTTCAGTACTGTGGAATAGGTGATTTCATATTGTGCTTTTCAAAGATTAGCCGACATGCTGATTGTTTCAAATTCTTTCAAATGATTGTATACATTCCTTCAGCACACAGGAGTTCTTTCCAAGTTTTCTTGGGTTTGTTCCCATGATACATGAAACAGTGTAAACAATCCACAGTCACATCATGACATGTTATTAAAATTGATTGTAAACTCTGTCATATTCAGTCACTTCAAAATCTGTTGTCTTCCTATCATATTCAGTCTCTAAAATAAAATATTTTTCACACATTTTGTAATTTTATTATATTTACATCACAGTATACTTACATATTTTATAATCTGCATTTCATTTACTTATCATCTGTCTTCTACAACACTAAGACCTTCAGCTCTCACTCCTTGTAATTGTCTCTCAAAAGTTTCTCATTTAATATTCCTTCAAAATGATTTAATTTATTTTCGATTTTGGAATAGCCCTCAGACTGGCAGTGAGAGTCTATTACTTCTTTGTTGTTGATATCCAGAGGTTGAAAGAAATGCCATATAGACACGTTCTAAATTATGAATTGATATGATTTATAGATGTGATTCTAGTTAATGTAGCAGTGATTTCCAGTGTTTTCTAACATGGCTAAAATGTGATGCAACATTTTGCATATTTAAATGTATTTTGGATTGAAAGGACATAATTGGCTACAGAGCTTGATCAAAACAATATATAAAAAACATGTTTATTTTGTGAATGACAAAAGAGTTACCGTACTGTTACCATACTTGTACACCACTGGATTCAACTAATAATTGTGATATCAACCTCTGGTATCACTTCCTGTCATGTGACATCTCATTTCCTGTCATGTGACAATTTTCTGTTTCCTGTCTCTGATTTGCAGGTAGAAACTTTCTTCCATGAATTTGGTCATGTTATGCACCAGATTTGCGCAAGAGCCAAGTTTCGTATGTTCAGGTATCTAACCCATCTCCTTCCACTTCACTTCAACAGCCACTTGCCAAAATTAAACAGTCTCAGATAAAATAGAATCAGTGCTTAAAATTACTAAAAATATAAATAAGTTTATAGTTTGCTCTGACTGTCTTCTGGATAATATAGTTTGTGATGCAAAATATATTCAGAAACACAATTTAATTCGAGAACATTCCTCTGAACAAATTATTTTAGACGTATTAATTTAGTCTAATTCTGGCAAGTGGTCTGCTGTGTCAGGTGTATAGTGTTTTGCTGATATTCATATTTTTCCTCAGGTTGAAACTTTCTTTCATGAGTTTGGTCATGTTATGCATGATATTTGCGGCAAGCCAAAACTGGTGTACTTCAGGTATGGTGTTTGTGTATTTGTATATTTCTAGAAATATGTATTTTTAATATTTCCAAATGTTTGCCATTTTTACATTCGATTTGACCATACAAAGAACTTGAGCGAGTATAAAATCTTCCTTGCATAACACTCTACAAAAATACCTACATGTAGGTTGTACATGACATCTATTCTTAGAAATCCTTCACAGTGTCTGACATGTGGTTTGTTATTTAAAATAGATTTATGAATTCATTTTAAGTTATAAGCCTCAACTTGTATATAAGAAAACCAAATTCTGTACACTGAGATAATGCAGGGGAATTTTTTTGTCAAATTTAGAATATTAGAATATACTGTCTCAGATTTTTGGTGTCATATATTTTGACTTATGAATTATTGTAAAATCTAGGTTTTGTAAATATGCATTATAATGTATATGTATTCTATGGAAGTTCTTTTCAAAATAGTAATTTTACATAATATTTTGTTAAAAATATTCTTCATAATATGGTTGCGATATCTATTGCGCATCAGAATCTTGTTCACTGTTGACTAATATGAACTGTTATTCACTGAATTGAACACTAATTATTACCAAGCCATGTTTCACTCCACAATTATGAGTCTAGCTGCTTCTACCGTTCACTTTTATCATTTTTATCAACACAATCAGTTGAACATGATTGGTCAGTCCACTCCAGGAGTGGTTGATGTGTTACAAGTCAGTTAATGTGCTTCTTTCAGATGTTCTGTCAGAGAATAACTTAAAGCAATAGTTCAACTTGATTCTAAAACCACATGATATCTAACAAACCACAGTACAATGTGTATATTTAAATTATTGAAGACAATGATACATTTACTCATTCAAAATTTTAAAAAGGCGAAACCAGCCAGCTTAGAGTGTCGGGTGGAATGTTGTTGGGTTACGTTTTCAAGTCCATATTCTATATCCATTTTAATTTTCAGTGGTACCAGAGTTGAAAGAGATTTTGTGGAAGCTCCATCCCAAATGCTGGAGAATTGGTGCTGGGAAAAAGAGCCATTGCAACGAATGTCATCTCATTACAAGGATGGGAAGACACTACCTGATGACATGATTGATACATTGGTCAAAGCTCGTAATGCAAATGCCGGCATCTTTAATCTTAGACAGATACTGCTAGGTTCTTTTGATCAGTCTATCCACACCAGGGCTAAGGTGGGTACAAGCATTTTTTCCACCAATGTGGTAGTGCAACATTCTGCAAATATAGATATATTAGTACCTCTTGCTCCACAGTCATTGTCTATCTATAAAAGATCAATTTAATGATCAATATTTTGTTTAAGAAAAATATCAATATTAAAATATAATTTTTAATAAAAGTTTTAAAATTGGTCTAATCTAAGAAAGAAAAAGATAAATATGTCAATGTCAGTTGGAAAAATGTGTACTTTTCAACATGCAGTGGATTTTACAATAAATATTTAAGATTGATACCTAAGTGAATGTGAAACTAATGCAAACCTAAATGTTATCCTGATCTACCCAGATATTATGAAGTGAGTTATGCATGTACATCAGTGTTCTCCCCAGAAATTTTTACCACTTTGGCGGCCTAATTTGCATATAATTTGCATATCATTTACATAATAATAGAAATTGACCAAAGCACATTCACACCCACACAATAAACAACATATATTTAAAAAACAAAGTGGCAGATATTTATTTGCTTCACACAGTGTTATAAATACTTTTATTTTGGGCACTTTTGTAATATTAATGAGCTCCGTCACAGTGCAAATATATTTTTTTTTTGAAGTCAAAATATTACGTTCCACAATATAGAAGAGTTTGAATTTAAAAATTTAACATTTTCGAAATGCAAATGCTGCAGACTAAAAAGAAACAAAT